GTTCCAACACTATCGGGACTTCTTCTTGTGGTTCTCGAATTTCTTCGAGGTCTACCTTTCTCCCACTAGTGATAGCAGAAAGAAACTCCTTCTCAAGGAAGGTTCCATTCCGAGCAACAAAGATTTTGTTATCGGATGGATGATAGAACTCATACCCTCTAGTTTCCTTGGGGTATCCCACAAAAATTACTTTATCAGATTTAGGCTCCAACTTACTAGACGTCATGAGACGTTTTACATAAGCTTCACAGCCCCAAATCTTAAAGTACGAGAAACTCGGTTTTCTCCCAAGCCATAGTTTGTATGGTGTGCTCTCGACAGCTTTAGATGGAACTCTGTTGAGTGTGTGTGCTGCTGTTTTCAGTGCATATCCCCAAAATGATTCTGGCAATGTTGTCAGACTAATCATGCTCCGGACCATGTCTAGCAAAGTCCGATTTCTCCTCTCAGACACTCCATTTAACTGAGGTGTCCCCGGAGGAGTGAGTTGGGATAAGATCCCATGCTCTTTCAGATAGTCATCAAACTCCAGACTTAAGTATTCACCTCCTCGATCCGAGCAGAGGGTCTTAATACTTTTGCCTAATTGTTTTTCTACTTCGTTCTTGAATTCTTTGAATTTGTCAAAGCATTCTGATTTGTGTTTCATGAGATACACATATCCATATCTACTAAGGTCGTCAGTAAATGTAACGAAGTAAGAATAACCACCTCTAGCTACAGTGCTAATTGGACCACACACATAGGAGTGTATGAGGCCCAATAAGTCACTCGCCCTTTCACCGTGACCAGTGAATGGAGCCTTTGTCATTTTACCAAGTAAACAAGATTTACATACATCATATGACTGGAAGTCAAATGAATCAAGTACACCGGAACGATGTAACTTAGATATGCGTTTCTCGTTAATGTGGCCCAAACGACAATGCCAATGGTACGCGAGATTCAAACTGTTAGGTTTGTTTCTCTTAACATCTACGTAATATATTGTGGTATCCATGTCAAGGACATAGAGACCGTTGGTCATTTTTGCACTTGCATAAAATATATCATTTCTAAAGACAGAAAGAGTTTTGTCTTTTACAACGAATGAAAATCCTGCTTTGTCAAGGCAAGATACAGAAATGATGTTTCTGCTCATACTAGGTAAAACCAGACAATTATTCAAATGCAATATTAGACCACTAGGTAGAGATAAACTATAGGTTCCGACGGCCAATGCATAGACGAGTGCGCCATTGCCGACTTTTAGTTGTATCTCTCCCTCCGTCAATTGTCTACATTCATGCAAGTTTTGCATAGAAGTACAGATGTGAGAACCACATCCAGTATCCATCACCCAAGAGGTGATATCAGACATATTGACTTCGATAACGTAAATACCTGAGTTTTGGGGTTGACC